TGCATGTTCTTGGATACACACTATCTAGAATTAGTATTGTTATTGCAGTAATAATGATGCCTACTAATTGATTTTAGGTGAGCTGAAATCCTTGGCCCCTCTCGATCGAGAGAAAATCCCTGTGTACAACTTGGTTGCCCGGGCTACAGATGGTGGTGGCAGGTTTTGCCAGTCAGAAATCCATCTTATTTTAGAAGATGTTAATGATAATCCACCAGCATTTTCATCTGATCACTACACTGCATGTGTCTATGAGAATACAGCCACTAAAGCTTTATTGACAAGAGTCCAAGCCACTGATCCTGATGTAGGTAAGTGAATAATGCTGCTAACAACTAACGCTCAGGAAAATCGTGTCTTCATGGAATTATGATAAAGATTGTTTTTTTTTTTTTTAATATACTTGCATCTCCCATTTCCAATACATTCCCAGTGCATCAAAGTGGTCATGGCCAAGCTTGGCATCATGGTGCTGTTAGCAGATAAACATTGCAGAACGAGTATTTTTTTCTGTTGATCAGTGATAGTAGTCATGAGTTTCGGAGGTAAATTCCAACTTTTCTTCCTGCAGTCATCTTACCTCTTTTTCTGAGCCATGGTTCTGAATACCCAGGCCTCTGTTTATGTGAGTAATATAGTTACATGCCATAGGGACATATACCTGATTAATCGCAGCTTAGCTAGAATTTTATACCGCTGTAACTCCCATTTGTTCCATCTGGTTACCTCAGCACAAAACTATTGTTGTACACTGTGAATACACATTATATACACTCTGTTTTTTTTCACTAAACATTTCACTGTACTTTTAAAGTGTAACAGTTTATTACATGAAGATCTTAACCTTGAAATCGAGGCCCAATTTTAAATATTTTAAGGGGTTTATATATAAAACAATGCAAAGTAAAACCTTAACAAATCTCAGATTTTGTTTTAACCCGTTCGCATTAGATGGCATAAATAAAGCTTTAATTGTTTGTTTTTAATTTTTGTGGTTCTGGTAATGTTTTATAAAAACTGGCTCATGCAGCTTCACAATAAAAAGCTGGCCGTTTATTGAATGAAAAAATATATTCACTTTTAAGATGTTTATTGTCTAAAGCACAGTGGTACTGGTGGTCTCAGTTTTTATTAAGGTTGTTAATATCAGCATACAGTGATCAATATAAGAACAACAAACAGTCATTAGTATGTTTATAAAGAGCCACATCGTATGTTCTGGTTGAAAAATCGCAATTAAAATTTATGATAGTGTCCTGCAGTGAAACAGCAATTACTGGTGCTAAACTACTGAACAGTTTGAACATCCAAAGTTGTTTTCCACTGTTGTTTTAATTATCATTTTCTCACAGGTGAGGTAACATTTAAGGAGGGGAGGATACACAAAGATTAGAATCAGAAGTTGTCAATAAAAGTTCTAGCTAGCATCAATGTTGCCTAATAAGATAATTATAAAGATATGAACAAATTGCTACATCTTCCTTCTGAAACAAGATAACTTAAAGGGAGGGGTGCATGTAATAAAAAGGAAGGTGTATGTACTCTTTTAATGATTAGACCTGAAAATCAAATAAGACACTGTATCATTATGAAAGTGCCCCTGGCCTATAAAATTGGATTTTATATTAATTATGGTTCCATATGCTGGTTCCTTGCATAGTGAATGATTTTGGATACTGTAATGCTCCCAACACAGAGATAAAATGTAGTTGTATTCCAATAGGATTGGGCGGTGTTTTCTCCTGAAAACATCTGTGGGGCTCCTAATGATCATAAGATCAATTTTTGGCATTCTGCAACCTCTTATTATCAGCCTTAGCATTTGCAAGTTCTGATTTGGGCTTTGAAGAGCCATGTACCGTAAGGATAGGAATACCAGTGTAGAGGCTGGTGAGATAAAACTGGAGAGAAATCAATTTGTGATCTGCAGTTGCCTGCAACTAAACATCATCTAACAAAAAAAAGAAAAACTGAAAATATTTTAATCAGATACTGCTCGATAATAGAGGCATTTTACAGATAACATGGAAGTGTTGTTCACAATGTTGGATTTGCATTGTGCTCTTGATGGCTGGTAAAAGTTCTGAAATTATAATATTCTGGGAATTTTCGGGACTGGAATATAAGCTGTTTAATACATATGTAATTTGAATGTATGTTTAAAAACTACCCATACCAGTTGGACATTCTGAAGGAGAGCTATGACTTTTTTCTTTTTTTGTAGTAGTAGTATTCAGCAGAAAAAAAAAAAATTAGTTAACAAGCACTTAACTCCAGAGCACACAAGTTCATTTTACATAACCTCTCCCTGTAGCTAGGAGTCATAAATTAAAATTGCTTGGAAGAGAGTGTACACATTTCTCTTTGATAAAAGATATTAATAACATTAACATAAAGTAATTCTTTCTCCCCTCCTGCTTCAACTGGAATTTTTTAATGTTTCCACAAAATAATATTGCCCACTTCTCACCACCATCAGGTTTGGAAATGTGCAAAGTGAAAGACATCTTAAAGACCAATTTTATTTATTTATTTATTTACAGATTGCTAGAGCAGTTTACAGGAAATGGTTGATTTTCCACCTCCCACTATCTTTACACCCAAGCGCCAAATTACTCCATTCTGTTCATATTAGGACGGTAGAAGAGCTGGAGTGAATGACGGGGTGTAGTTATTGGCGTGACCCCATCAGACACCCACAGCATCAACCTGCTGTAAGTGATATTCAGGTTGCTCTGGTGCAGCAACACTGAAGAAAACATTCATGGGACTTTACAGCAAGCATGAAGTTAAAAAAGAAAGATAAACATAAAAAAAAAAAATGTGGAGCCTGAATTGCTACCTGACCCGTAGTTGCCTACCCGCTTCCAGGGCTTTTCACCTTTGATGCATGTACATGTTGTTACAGCCTTGCTAGTAGAAATCAAAAATGAATGACAAAATGTACCAAGCTCAGCAGTGCTTTAAACGACAGTTAGAAAGTCCTGCTTCGATAGCAGTTGCTTTGTCTTAGGAACGGCCTCCATGATGAGGCCGGTTCTGGTGTTGGTTGATGGTGCAGCCTGCGGAAGGCAGCGAGCGCTCACTGCGCTCAGCAGCAGCAGGGGATCATCCAGCCTCCCAGGGGCCTTCATGACCATTCGGGCACTGGCAGTGCTTCACCATCCATGTTTGTAGTCTGTTTAGTGCTTTCCACCTCCATGTTACCCTACTGCCCAAGCCAAGGCTGGCACAAAGTCAACAAGACTGCCCAATCCCCTGCCCATCCAGCCAGTATAGACAGATTTGCCCATTTTGGAGCCTGCGCCTTCTAAGGCATGCAGCCAACATGCAGGAAAACCCAGGAACATAAGTAGAGAAAAAAATGACAGCAGTGACCTTTTTTGGTTGCAAAGAGATCCCTGAGATGCAGAGATGTCACTGGTTCCCAGCCATCGTCTTCTGTCTCCATGCCTTGTCTCCAGCTCCTGGGCAGGATGTTGATCCATAGCATAGGAACAGCGAACACGTGCAAGCTGCGAGGAGCTAATCCATTCCCTGGTTGCAGACTGGCAAGCCAGAGCTTGGAGTATCTCAAAGATATACAGAATTACAGAATTCAAACCAATCTGCTTTTTCCCAGAATAGCAGCAAAGGCACTCACCAGCTCACTTGCCTCAGTCAGGCCTTACTGAAAAATGTCTGCCCTAATTTTTGATATAAATTGTTTTATCTGCGCCTTGAGTTTGCCTCAATTTATGGTCCGCTTGCTAGAGAGTCTACCTTGCTTCTGTGGCATATGCATACAAGACAGGCAGGGCCCTCCCTATGCAATGAAGATCAAGGCCACACGGTGCATGTGGTGACAAGCCAGAGAGCAAGCATGCAGGCTTGGGAAGGTCTTCTCTAGAGATGAGTCTCATGGCTTTGTGGATGCAATGATGTTGTGCCGTCAGGCTCCCGGGGCAGTGCGCAGTACACGCACCTGAGCTGGAGGTCATTCAGATGAGGAAGATTAATTACAGATGACATTTTGCAACATTTACAGAAATACAGAAATATTCTAGGGTATCTAACAGCAGATCTAATAGCATTCAGTATGGCAGTCTAGGAAAATATTGTGATACTTTCTTCAAAGTGTTCTCTCACACTCGTGTAAAGGGTGCCTGGAGTTACAGATCCATGCCGGCTTTCAAAGGGAATGTAGCATCGCAGCAAAACACAGAACACTCTGAGGTTTGTTTGACAGTTTTCTGCTCTTTGTACTACAGTACTGTATATTAGGTGTGGTATACTCATTTACGGCTTCTTTTGTCTGCTTGGCTTGAGTCATGCAGGACTGGTACTGAATGAGCTCACTGCAGCTCTTCTCTCTTTCCTCTGGCCGTGGATGTTCCTGGGATGTACTGAGGCAGGATAGTGCTTGCAGGCAGCAGGAAGGGAGGCAGTGTGCTTTGGGGAAGAGTTCAACGCTTAGGCTACTCGGGATTCGGCGTGTGTGCATGCTGCATGCTGGTGGTAGCTCTTCAAGACCAGGCGTGTGTGCTGTGCTGGTCACAAGCCTTCAACGCCTCGTGGGATTGGGGACATTCTCAAAGTCACAAGGGGTTCATCTGTCTGGGGGAGCCTCTTGGGTTGCCCCATCCCCAGGTCCCTCAGTGAGATGATGTGTGGCAAACAGGTGGACACTCAGGGATGTGAGAACGTAGCCCATTCCCAGCAAGGCTTGGCTAGTTTAAAAGAGCAAAAAGAGGCTGGAAAAAGAAGCCCAAATTAGCAAGTGTTTTATCTACAGTGGAAGAAAGCAGGAAATGTGCAGAGGTGTCCCTCCTTGAGCAGGGGGGTTGGACTAGATGATCTCTAGAAGTCTTTTCCAACCTCAACCATTCCGTGATTCTGTGATCTCTGTTTTCTCATGAACAGTCAGAAAAAAACCTCAGTATTTGAAGCTGGTGCATTTAAGTGTATTTGAGGGAGAAAGGTGGGTGTTGCAATCCTAGTTCAGTGAGCCAGGATAAGAGCTGAGGCTCTCCATAGACAAATTTCTACAACCAAGTTATACAGGTCAACCTATGTGCCTTAATTAGGCCATTTTTTAAGAGTTATATAGAGTTAAAGACTAATTGGGCTGAGATCTATTAGACTAACTCTGTAGTCCTGTGATTAGTGCATTTGCCTTCCATATGGAGAGTCTAAATCAATCAAGTCTCTAATCAGCCTGTTTTTCTGTCAGGGAAACTAAATATTCACCCCTTTGTGTAAAATGCAAGAGCGGCAGCAGAAGAGACCTGGCCCTCCTGGTGAAGCCATTCAGCCGCCTCGCTAGGAGATA